GGCCCCTTCCCTCTGAGCAGGAGGCCTCGCTCCCTCCCCCTGGATTGGAGGCCGGCTTCCTTCTGCTTGTCTGGAGCTACCTGCTCTCGGTGTCCGCTGCCATGGTGGAGGTGGGGGGGAGGCCACGCTGCCCCATGTGGGGGCCACACGAGGGGTGCCCACGGCCAACAACACCTCCCGGCCGTGCCACTGAGCCACTTGCAAGTGGATCCTGCAGCTTTGGTTAGTCCACGGGGCTGGTTCCCCACGGAACCCTGCCCACCTCCCAGGTCCATTAGCAAAATAAAGATCAGGGGCTGTTTGAAGGCTGCTGAGTCTTGGGCTGGCTTTGATGTGCAGCAACAGGCAGGTCCCACAGGCAGCTGGACCTGTGTCCTGTGTGTGTGTCCTGTGTCCCACAGTGGGTGGCACAGCTCGGCGGTGAAGTGGGTGGCCCAAGCCCGGCTTGGTTCGGAGCCCGGCGCGGCTACTCCCTGCGTAGTTGTGTGACCTTTGGCAAGTTCGTTCATCTCTCTGCCTCCGTGTCCTTCGTTTTGCAGTGTCCGTAAAAAGAGCCCTCCGGTTTGTTGTGATGGCGGGTGAATGAGTAAGTGATGAATGCAGGTGCACGCAGATGTCCAGGCAATACAGACCGGCCCGTGGCAGCATCCGGGCGAGCCTCGGAGCGTCCGGCCGTCACTCTCTCGAGTGGTTGTGTTTCTGTGTTTTTGTAGCAGGTGCGCACGTGCATCTACAGCCTACAGCTTGCAGTCCCATCTGCAGCGACCCCGTCTCTGCGTGTCGGGTCCCAGTGCCTGACTCTCACTTCTGTATCCCCAGGACCCGGAACAGGTCCGCGCACGAAGCGCCTGATAACTTCGTGTGGTTAAGGAGCGGACGAGCAGCCCTGGCGCGCGGCTCGTGGAAGACCTCGCAGGTCCCGGCCCGGTGTCCGTCCGGTCCCTCCGCAGCAGCGGCCCCTGCTCTTGTGGGCGTCAGTAGAAAATACACTGCCCCACATCCCTTGCAGCCAAGGGTCCTGTGCCGCCCACGGCCCATCCGTGGTGAGATGTGCTCGGAGGTCTTCGAAGACCGCTGGGAAAATGCGTGCTTGGATCTAGGCCCTGCCCTTCCCGCCTCCCCCCTTCCCCCCTTCCTGCCCGCGGTGCGGGCCAGAAGTAGAGAGGCGAGACCAGCGACAAAAGTGAGGCCCAGAGCTGCCCCGTGGAATGACAGCAGCACAGACTCTTATTTGAGAAAAATGAACTCTTGGTAGTTAGGTCTCAGCACTGAGCCTTCTTTTTTTTTTTTTTTAAGATTTTATTTATTTATTTGAGAGAGAGAGAGAGAATGAGAGATAGCACGAGAGGGAAGAGGGTCAGAGGGAGAAGCAGACTCCCTGCTGAGCAGGGAGCCCGACGCGGGACTCGATCCCGGGACTCCAGGATCATGACCTGAGCCGAAGGCAGTCGCTTAACCGACTGAGCCACCCAGGCGCCCAGCACTGAGCTTTCTGTTCTTTGCATGGGATCCGTTCTCAGTGACCCGCTGGGGTGGAGGAAGGTCTGCCCGGAGGGGCTGTCCGCTAAGGGCAGGGGGACATTTCGTCTTCCTCACTGCTCCAGAGGAGGGCCAGCAGGACTCACCAGCACAGATGTGACTCTCCACCTCTCTGTAGCTCTCTTCAAATAGCCAGAGGGGGCAAGCGGCAAGGCCCTCACGTGTTCTGCGTCTGTGTGGCCCGAGTTCCAGCATTTCAAAGAGCAGGGCTTACGGGGACCCTTCCTTCCTGGATGATGAATACAGGTGTGTCTTTATTGCCACTCGATGCCGGCCATTTGGGGGCTGTTGCAGATGCAGAGATGACTGAGTCAGATGGCAGAGGCCGTCCCAATAGCAACAATATCCGTGGGGTTTACCCAAACTGGGCTGTGCGGGGCTGGGCCCGTCAGCCTTATCCTGCCGCCAGTGTCTGGGCGTTGGGGTCAAGACTAAATGAGAGATCCCTTCCCTCTGCTCCAGCGTGCATCCAGATCGGAATCGAGGGCGGTACTAAAAGGTTTCAGACTAGTCATAAACTTCACCCCCAGGGTTACAGCTTTAGGAATTGCTGCCATGGGAACACAGGTGTAACAGTCGAGGTAGAGCATTGAGACAGGTGCTGAGAGTCCCGGGACTACATTATATCATCACCTTTGATACGTTACTTTAAATGACCCGTGTGTGTGTGTGTGTGTGTGTGTGTGTGTGTGTGTGTGTGTGTGTACTATGTCAGGGGCAGAGAATTGGGCCATTTCGAGACTGATATTTGAAATGATAGCACCTTTCCCCAAAATGATAACACGTCTGAGCTTGTGCACACGTGCAGACCACACACAATTTAGAGACCACCTCAGCACTTCTAGAGATCCAGGTGAAGAATCCACTTGCGACTTGCCTGAGGGTGGAAACTTTTTCCAGACCATAATTTGGTCCTTTACCGAGTACTGTCTTCATTTACCTTTCCATGTGTGTATGTTGTATCCCATTGAGAAGGCAGCCCCTGCAAGGACATACGGGTCTTTGCTCTCCTCAGTGATCTGTGTTCACAGGGACCGCGGCTCGAGGGAAATCTGCCAGTTGAGTCCTCTGAAGTCGCTATGGTTTCCTGAGGATGGGCAGCGTTCAATATTCCAACTGTCACCCCACCCGGCTCCAAAACGGAAGAGGTCACCACAAGAGGACTTGGACCCCACGCTCATGTGCTATTTACTTTCTAGATTTTTGGCCGAGGCATTATTTACATACTCCTCATGCAAACAGCCAGCCTTGGAAAAGCTTTACACACACACACACACACACACACACACAGTCGGTAAGTGTTACTAAAGGAATGTACTGTATTCTCTTTGAAACGCGTGCTCTTTATTCTGTCCGCAGCTCTGCACTTGGCCCTGAACACACCCACACCTGTAATCGGAGCCCCTGCCTGTGCCATCCCATGGGTTTTATTCGTCAAACTTTACTCCTTGTGGACAAAATATAGACCGGGATGTAGCCAAATGCTGATAAAACAGTAGCCATGTGGTTTTTCCTTTTTTTCAGGTCCTTCCTCCCACCTATACATTCCAGGGAGCCCCCTTTGATTGTAAACCTCTTTAGAACTTGGGCGGGTTTTCCCTCCCTTGTCCCCCCTCCCCCCCCCCCCGCCACCAACTCTGTGGGCAGTGACCGCCACCTGATGGCCATATGGGGGAATGGCAGGTGGATTTCCCCCCAAATCTGGGCAGAGGGAGGCCTCTCTGGGGTTTGGTCTTGTTCTGAGGGGAACCAGGCCAGAGAAGCTGCCACAGCCAATGGACGTCCTCCTTCTTGGTCTTGGTCTTGGCCTTGCCTCGCAGGTCACAGCGTCCCATCCACACTAGTTACTATGGACAGATGAATTCACTCAACACTGGAGGTCAGCCCATCAAAATTTATTGAGCAGCAACTGTGCGCCCAACACTGGGAATCCGGCGGTGACCCAGATGGCTGTCTCACATCCGCAACCTTAAAACCAACACTGGAATAAGTACTCTGGAATAAGTGTGATGCTAAGAGACGATCCAATGGAAAATCTTGCTTTCTACACCAAGAAATTAGAAGAGCTCCTGAGGAAGAAGCATTTAGGGTCAGCTAAGTGGGGGATGGGAGGAAGAGTGTGGAGGCAGAGGGAACGGTGTGTGTTAGGGCTCTGCGTCACGGACACAGCCCCAGCAGCTGCGACACAGGGAACAGAGGTGAGGCACGCAAGGGGGGCACCGGCCGGTTCGTGCGGCGTCTTCAGATGGACAGGACTTTATTCCCAAAGCACCCGGCAGCCACTGAAGACTCCGAAGGAAGGAAAGTCAGATGCCTGGGTTTGGTTGTCAGCGCTCACTCGGACTGCTGCGTGGGGGGTGGGGGGCAGACGCGGAAGTGGGGGGCTGGTGACGACGTCTGCACAGCGGTCTGGACAAGCAGTGAGGAAGAGGGTGCATCCCAGAGGCATTTAGGAGCTAGGATCTCCTTGGAGAGTGACCGGGGTGCTAGGAGAGGGGGGCGTTTCTGGCAGGAGGCGCTGCGGGTAGGGGACTCCGCGGGTGGGGGGGCTGCCTGTCATCCTCATTCCCCTCCCCTGCTGGGGTTAAAGGAGACAAATCTGGCCACTGCCCCCCATGGTGGCTGTCTTTTGGGACGAGCCTAGGACAGTGAGATCCTCTCTCTACCCTGAAAGAACACGAACTTTGGATTTAGACTTGAGTTTGCATTCTGGCCACTAATTCGTGTGCCTTCCTGCTACTAAATCTTGCCGAGCTTCGGGAGCTCCCCTCTGCTTGCTGGATGGGATGCTGCCCGGGGTCATCAATCGCTTACGAAAGCCAAATAGGGAAAAAATCTTTCTTAACTTCAAAAAGACTTCTGTGTAAAATCGTGGTGACGGCACCCATCTTACGGAGTAGCTGTATTAAAAAGGGCGTACGAAGCACGCAGCATAAGGTCTAGCCTGAACTACCGACTAACCCTTCACTTCCTTTCTTCCCTTTGGCGTTCCAACTATCAAGGACTCTTCAGAAGGCAGATCAACCGGTTTTGTATGGCCAGCAATAGACACTTCCTGTTCCTGTCTGTGGAAATCCCATTCTCTTGCAGCCGTCCCCGTTGCCATCACTGCCATAAAAGTTCTCCCACCCCTCAACCCTGTGTAGGACTTCTCCTTCTCCCGACTGTGCAAAAGTTGTGCCTGAGCTCTGGCTGTCTCCCTAATCCAAGATACTTCATCTTCTCGTGTCACTCCTGAGAATTAATGAACGTGCTTCTAGCATTCTCCCTAACGCCGAGCAAATCACGGTGGGACTGGGAAATAGGACCTGTACACTTGAGAAGGACGCGGGAACCACAGGCCAGTTCCCAGAATGGAATGGAGGTCTTTATCCAGCACTCCGCCCCCTCCCCCACCTACAGGGCACAGATGCAGCCAAACTCAGAACTCAGCTGAGTCTACACAAGCACTCGTCCCCACCCTACAGCTCTGTGAGGTCGTCGTTGAAGTAGAGCAGTATTGCAGGTGTGTAGACTGTACCGTCCATGTTGAGATAGTCAAATTCTTCATCCTCGTCCCGGATCCCATTCTCTTCCAGGGTATAATCCATGTTCAGTTTCTTCCCCTCATATTTCCATGTATAGCTGGCAGCATGTGCATTAAAGGGGAGACAGCGGTGCAGGATTTCCCACATTGATTCCTGGGCCCCCACCTGCAGAACATGAAAGCGCCCCACCCCCCAGGATTCTGGATGGGACGCACGCACGCACACAGATCCGCGCCCCAAGCCAAGGCCCGGAGCACAGATGATCGTGCTGGAAGCAGAGTGCCTCCCTTGGCAGATAGCATTTTTAGGCACTTCTCAGTCCCCCAAATGAAGCTGGAGCTCCAGCATGCGGCGAATGGCCCCAGAGTGTATTACCTGTCTTTGTGGCAGTCCCTTCTAACAAACGGATGGCCCTAAAGGGCCAGAGTCACTGCCCCCTCCCTTCATCCCTTCCACAGAGAATATTAATAAGAGAGTCCGACTGCAACTACTATCCAAAACACAGCATGCGAGTGCTTCCGAGGACCACGATCACTAAGGTGCATGAACTGCTACCCCCGGGGGGCTTATGAGGGCGTCTCTTGTACCCTGTGCTCCGGGCACTCCTCCATTCCCAAGCCCACAGACCTAGGTGGTCTGCTCTCCTCGGTTACCCCTAAAGTGGGGGAAGATACTGCTCCCCCTGGCTATGCAGAGCCAATGGTCTAAAGATCTCCTGGGAGAGTTGCTGGGATTCCCAGTTCCCTCTGACCTGCCCGCAGGCACCGGTTCTCACCTCCAGCGCGTGCTCCTGCGACGTGAGCGTGTTAATGATGCGGATGTTGCGGGTCTTGGTAGACAGCCGCCCCACCTCATAATGCACCCCCTGCCACCAGGGCTTCCCGAAATCATTGGCCCAGTCCGAACGCGGCAGCTGAGGCGGGACGTGCAGAAAGCGGCCCCGGGGGGTGCGGTATCTCAGGGTACCGGTCAGCGGATCGACGTGCTTGCGGATCTTTAACGCAGGGATCGGGAGAGGGGCCTCGGGGCAGTCACGACCTCCGACTCCAGCCAGCTCCCGCCTTTCCTCCCCATCCCGCGGCCCCGCGGTCCCATTCCACACCCCCGCCCCACCCCGGGTTCCGGCACAACTCACGTCTCTGGTCTTCGGATCGAACCAGTGGCTGATGTCCTGGCCCGCAACTTCCACGATGGGTTTTAGCAGCAGGTCTCCTGGGAAGGAACAGCCGCCGTCAGTGCCAGCCACGCAAGAACCAAGCACCTGCCCCGCGACGCACACCCTGACCCTGGCCCAAAGCGCGGCCCTTACCCTTGTACTTGTGAGCCAACGGCGTCAGGTCGTACACGGAGCCCAGGTAGGACACCCACAGGTCTTCCGGCACGTTGTGTTGGGCCACCTCGGCCGGCGTGAAATAGCGACGCTGGAAAAACTCAAAGTCTGGCCCCCCCACGAGGCCCCGGCGCGGCGTGGCTCTTGCACTCTCGGCCACCAGCATCTCTGGTTGCTTCATCGCCCCTCAGCATGCACGCACGCACGCACGCACTTCACTCACTCACTGCATCTTCCCCACCTCGCGAGCGCGTTGGTCCGCTGACATGGAAACCATTGTCCCTTTCCGGCCACCGTCTACCGAGATCAAACACTGGGCGGATGGGGGGGGAGAGGAGGGGCGGGGGCTGTGCGCGCTCACGGGAAATGTAGTCTGAGTCTGGCTTTCAAGGAACTGAGCTGCGTCCTCCAGAGGTCCGGGGGAAAGCGAACGCCCTCCGTCTTCAGAGTGATCTGGGCGGGAGGGGATATTTAGGACTGACTGGCGAAGCAGAAAAGCAAGGGGGTATGGGGTGGAGTGTGATTACGAGAAAAGGTGTCTTCGCTAAATCCCCGGGTTCCTGAAGGATGTGTGTGAAACTAAAGAGGTGAAACGTCTCGCGATATCTTAAGACATCGGGCGCCACAGGCCTCAGTGAGCCCCGGCGCCGGAGAAGTAGGAGGAGCTCGCGAGATCTCTGCAGTTGCCCAGGAGACGACGGGGAGGAGGAGAGGTGATCTCGCGAAAGAAAAGAGGTCGGGAGCGCTCGCGAGATCTCAGACCGCCGGAGCCGAAAGGTTCTTAGGAAGTTGAAGGGCCCAGAGGAGGCCCCGGGGCAAATGGCCGGAGCTGGACCAACCATGCTGCTACGAGAGGAGAATGGCTGTTGCAGCCGGCGTCAGAGCAGCTCCAGCGCCGGGGTTAGCGCGGGCTGGGGTTCTGGGATCGAGGGGCAGCCTGGGAGCAAGATGGGGGGGGCGGGGGCGGAGGGGGAACTGCGGCTCCCGGCAGCCTCTGGGCTCGGTGCGAGCGCCCCGCGGGCTGTCGGGAGCTGTGGTTCCGCGGGTGGGCGGCCGCGGGGGCGGTGCCGTCTCAGCGCGTGTCCCGCCCCGCGCAGGACTCAGACGGTGAGCGCGAGGACTCGCCGGCCGCGCGGGCCCGGCAGCAGCTGGAGGCGCTGCTCAACAAGACTATGCGCATTCGCATGACAGATGGACGGACCCTGGTCGGCTGCTTCCTCTGCACCGACCGCGACTGCAATGTCATCCTGGGCTCGGCGCAGGAGTTCCTCAAGCCGTCGGGTCAGTGCCCGGGGGATACACGCCCCCCTGGGAATGCGGCGCAGCCTCCCCGCGAGGCGCTTCCCCCCTCAGTGTCTGGCTGCACCCCTGTTTTCTGGGGCTAGAAGGGGCGGGACCGGCGCTGGCCTGCCTCCCTGATGCTCTGACCCTTCTTTCCAGATTCCTTCTCGGCGGGGGAACCCCGTGTACTGGGCCTGGCCATGGTACCCGGCCACCACATCGTTTCTATTGAGGTGCAGAGGGAGAGCCTGGCAGGGCCTCCCTATCTCTGACCTCGATCGCGCATGCTTTGCAGACCATTAAACCTGGAACGAAGTGCCTAGTGTCCGAGTGTAGCTGGGATGTCGGGAGCACTCTCAACCCTCCTTCCCCAACCTGGACGTGCAGGGGAGCCAGAGGTTCCCTGTGGTTCGGCGGTGGGGGTGAACCAAGGACCAGCAGGCCCCAGGGTGGGCCCCTCCATCTTCCCTCCCACGCTGCTGCTCCAGAATTGTGGCCGGAGGGGGTGTCATCCTGCTCCGGAAGGCCCATTGTTTCCCTCCCCGGCCTGGCAACACCGAGTTCCTCCAAGCTGGGGTCAGAGAACGGGCTCGGGTCCCCAAGGGGAGCAGGGCAGGCGACAGAGGCCGGGCCCTCTCCACTCTGTTGAGGGGGGAGGTGACTTTAGGGTCAGGGACAGAGCTCTAGGGTCTGGCCAGGAAGAACGGGCTACCGCGATAAGGGAAGGCCCCCGGGCGGCCGAAGGATGCGCTCTCGCGCCCCCGCCCCTCCGCCCAGTGTTGTTTCCTGCTCCTGGGCACAGGGCAGGCGTTACAGGAATTGTGCCATTCCTCCGTTCACAGGATCCCAGGAACGCATTCAGTTCATTCTTTATTGATGTGTGGTCACTCCTTCCTCTCCAACCTCGCCCCCCCCCCAGCCCGTAAATACTAGAGGAGCTGCGCCAGGAAAGGAGGACACGCGGTTCAGTTGTCCTGAGGGAGGGGGAGGGGAGGGTCGAGTGGGGGGGCGGTGTGTGTGTATGTGTGTGTGTGTGTGCAGGGTCCAGCCCAGATGTCCAGGATTCAGATCTAGGTAGGAGGAGGAAAGTGGGTTTTCCGGGGTGTGGTGGGTTTCCGCCAGCTTTGGTCCACGGATGCTCCGGTTCCCCCGAGGGGATGCTGGACCCTGGCTTCGGCAGGGGCGGGGGCGGGGTAGGTCGGGAGACCCCCGGGCTTCAAGTCCTCGGGCCGACTGGGAGTGGGGGCAGTCGTCAGGGTGGTTTTTGACTCGAGGGTCCTCAGACCCAGACCTTTCCTGACGTGGGAGCGGCCTGGGACCCCGGTGAGGCTCGCGTGTGCCGTGGCTGCGGGGTGCGCCGGCGCCGGTAGAGGGCTCGGCTGTAGGGCACGAGGCAGTCGGCCAGGCGGAGGCGCAGGCAAAGGCGGCGGTAGCTGGCCAGGGCCAGCACGAGCAGCGGCACGAGGAGCAGGAATCCGGTGACCAGCAGGGCCGTGAAGCCCGGGTCCCGCAGGTGCGCGGTGCAAGGGGGGGCCTGGGAGCGCAGGAACTGTGGGAGGAGACCAGGCATCAGGCCCCCACCAGGCCGGACAGCCCCGGCGGGCGGCCGTGGCCCGCAGACTCCCACCGCCACCCTCCCCGCGAAGGGCCGCGCTCACCTGGGAGTGGCAGAGGAAGCCGAAGCCTAGCATGGTGACAGCGGGTAGCAGGATGGTCCCCAGCACCAGCGCCAGCAGGAGGAGGTTGAAGGCAGCCACCAGCAGATTCTGGGCCGTGACCAGCACAGCGCAGGCCCAGCAGTCCAGGGGGTCCCGGGGCTCCGGGCCGCCGCCGCTCGCGCCGGGAGCCGGTCGCTGCGCCCCGGGGACATCCGCCATGGCCTGCCTGGCTCCCGCCCGCCTGGGCCGCGGCCCTTATAGCCCTCTTTCCTGCCCCTCCCCCGGCCCAGCCTCTCCCCACCCCCCCCCTTATCCTGGAATGCGGCTCCAGGATTAGGCACCCCCCCACCCCGAGGAGCGGACCAGCGCTCTGGACATTCCACAGGCGCCTCGGGGAGGGGCTCGCCCCGCCGGGGTCTGCGCAGTCGGGGCAGCCCTCCTCCCCGCGCGCGCCCCGCGAGCACCAGCACGTTACCAAAGCCGGATGTTTTTCTCTGATTTTATTTTTCATATTAATATTCTCACACAAAAATCACCGAAAATAGGGGTAGGGTTGGGAAGACCCCTCTGCCTCTGGGGCAGAGAGACAGTGCAGTGCGAGGGGGTCGGGGCTGTAAACCCCCCAGCCCTCCGCAGCCCCAGCGTGGGAGAGAAAATCCACCGACGAAACAAAAATAAAGCCCCAGAGAAACTCATCCCGGGGTGTCCCTGCCCCAGTGAGGCCCTGGCCCTGGGCTGGTTCACGCTTAAAAAGAAAAGGGGAGGCGGTGGGGGAGGGGCGGGGTGTGAGGGGAAGGTCCGTGTTTTTAAAATTGGCCGGGGCTGGGAAGGACGGGGTTCCTTTTCCTCATAGTTTTTTCTTTAAAACTTTAAATTTTTTTTATTTATTTATTTATTATTATTATTTTATTTTTTTACAAAATACCATTTCAGTTCCCACTTCTTCCCCTACAGTACAGGAGTCGCTCACCCTCAGGCGGGGTCGGGGTCGGGTCGGGAGTGGGGGCCTGGTCCGAGAAAGTGCAGGACGTCGGGGAGGGGAGCGGGTTTGAGCACCATGAGAACCCGGCTGGAGCCGCGGGCGGACGGGCGGAGACGGACGGGGCCGGCCCCGGACACACACTGGGGCGCAGGGAGAGCCCGGCGGCGGGGCGGTCCCCGGAGGGGCGGGCGGGATGGCTTGGGGGAGGGGGGTGCGGGAGGTCGGGTTTTCCCAAAAATGAATAAATAGAGGTGAGTGGGACTGTTATAAATTAAAAACCAAAAAACAAAAACAAAACAAAAAAACCCAGAAAATACAAATCATAACCAAGTGAAGAAACAGAGACATGTACAGGGGTCACAGCTAGCGCTGGAAGTAAAAAAGGAGGTTCTGGGGGAGGGGTAAAGCCCATAGAAGAATCTCATGAAAACCTCGGCTGCCGTAACGTCTATGTACATACGCGAGCCGCGTGCATCTGCGCCGGGCGGGCGGGCGGCTGGCAGGCGTGAGGGAACCCGTATGTGACCCCCGCCGCCGCCGGAGCCTGGTCCTTGTGTCTGTTGCTAGAAGGCCAAAGTCGGTGAGGGGAGGCGCTGGTGGGCGAGGGGCTGCCAGCCCCCTCCCCCGTCTCCCATTTTTTTTCCTTTTTTCCTCTTATTTGTTAAAAAAAACTTTTTTTTTTTAATAAATTAAGTTAAGGGGAGCTGCCAATGGGGTGGAAGGGCTGGGCCCGACCCCCTTCCCGGCCAGAGGCGGGACCTAGGTCCAGCCCAGGCGTGTGCTGGTGGCCCCGCGGCGCCCTGCGGGCGGGCGGGGCGTCCGGCCTCATCGCGACGTGCTGGCGGGGGCCTGCGGGGGGAAAAAGCGGGCGCCGGGGCTCAGCGGCGGGAGCGCCCCGGGGGGAGAACCCCCGCCCCCCACCGCCCCCGCCCGCCCGGGCCTCACCAGCGTGAAGGCGTCGTAGGCCTGCGCCAGCTCCTCCGTGCGGTACTGCTCCAGCACCACCACGCCCTGCAGGCCGGCGCTGCGCCGCCGCGCGCACGCCTCGCAGTGCACCAGGTACGTGTTGCGGCTGCCGTTCTCGCTCGTCACGAACAGGATGTTGAACACCTCCACCTGGGGCCCAGAGCAGGGGGCCGTCAGCGGGAGGGCAGTCCCGGGGATGGAGTGGGGGCAGGCGGGAGGCGGGCCCACTCACGTCGCACTCGTTGCAGTAGTAGGCGGGCTCGTCCTTGACCCGGCCCTGGTAGGCGATCTTCTTGCCGGCGCGCACAAGGCTCTCGCGTTGCACCTGGCAGTGCTTCATGGACTGCAGGAGGCAGAACCTGCGCGTGGTGGGGCGAGGGGCCGGTGAGACCGGGCGGGGGGAGGGCCCATCCCCGCTCCAGACCGGGTCACAGTCCCTGACCTGGGCATGTCACAGTTGACATTTCATGTGGCTTTTGTCTACTTGGATCAGAGGAAAAGAAAGCGCCTGGGAGCGGAACCCCTATCGGCCGCCCCAGCGCACCAACAGCTCGGGGCCCCGGCGGGGGCCCGCAAGCGGGGAGAAACCGGTGGAAAACCGGGTGGAATCAAACAGGAAGCCCAAGAGCGGGGCCAGGTCGGGCGGAGATGGGCTGCTTCCCAAATGGGGCCCTCACTTGATCATCTTGAACAAGTCCGGGTCGCTGATTTTGACCGTGCGAGCCACGTTCCAGGACACGTGAATCATGGGCACAATGGATTTGACGTTCTTCACCTCATTCCACTCGTATCGTTCCAGGGCCAGCTGGTACTGATAGGCTGCGGGCCAGAGGGGGGCACTGAGGATGCCCGGCCATCCCGGACCACGGCGGCGGGGGGGGGGGGGGGGGGGCGGGGAGATGGGGGATGGCCCTTCCCTCACAGCGGGCTGCGCTCCCGCCCGGCGCCCCCCTCCCCGCTGGGCCCACTCGCCGCGGGCCCCACCCTCTTACCGGTGAGGGGCCCCACGTTCCAGGCGATGTTGTTGCACCAGCCGGTGGCCTGCACCCAGTGCACGGTGCCCGCGTTAATCCACACGAGGTCTCCGGGGCGCTGCACGAAGCGGTACACAGGGATATTGGAAGCATAGAGGTCGTCCAGGATTGGCCACCAGGAACCAGTCAGGTAGTCCACGCCGTGCCTGCGGGGTGGCCACAGGGTCAGGGGAAGTCTGAGGACCCGGGGCCGGGCCGGGCCTGCGGGGGAGGGGCATGGGGGGGCGCCAGGGCGGCGCGCACCGGTCGCAGAAGGCGCTGATGGTCTCCCAGTAGTGCTCGTGCACCGCGAACCACTCGCAGTCGCCAGGGCCGATGTTGATGTTGACGGAGCAGAAGTTGTTGTTCTCCTGATGGCCTGCAGGGGGCGACAGAGAATGGCGTGTCTGGCCGGAGCCAAGCCGCGCTCCGCGCCTGGCCCGCCCTCGCGCCCTCATTGGCTGGCGGAGGAGCGCCGGCGGCAGCCCCGCCCCCCGCGCGCGCGCGCGCCCCGGCCAGGAGCGCACCTGGCGTTCGGCTGCCGGGGACCTTCATGTACAGCTGCACCGTGTTCATGCCCAGGATGGTGTGGCCCACGTGGCTCAGCATGTTGCCCGTGGATGTGACCCGCATGAAGGCGGGCAGCTTCAGCAGCTCCTGCAGCTGGGGCTTCCACCTGCGGCGGCGAGGGTGCAACAGAAGTGAGAGGCTACCCCCCAACTCCGCCCGCCCGGCGGCGCTCCGGCCCCGTCCCGCCGGTCCCGCTGACCTCTTGGCGTCAGACAGGTCGATGTTGGTGCCAAACTTGATGATGTGATGGTTCTTCGGGTCCGGTGCGCTGCTGCCGAGGCAAAGAGCGCGGGTTGGTGGAGAAGCACGGAGAAAGGAGTCAGGAAGGGGAGGGCCAAACGAGACGTACGTGGGAGGGGTTCCTGTGGTGCTGTCGGGCTCCTCGGACTCCTCGTCCTCGCTCTCCTTCTCCTCCTGCTTGGCCACAGCGGGGGGGGGGTCAGCGCCCGCCGCGGAGCGCGCCTCTCCCCGCCCCCCGGACACACGGCGGATCCCGAGCCCCCGCGCCTGCCCTCACCTGGAGGGACTCCTGGAAGGACGAAGCCTGGTACTGCGCGTACTTGGCAATGGTGGTGTGGGAACGGGAGCTCTCGCAGGGCCAGATCTGCCGCGTGCCCGTCAGATCCCAGTTCTCGTCCGACGGCTGCTGCACCTGCGTGCGCACCTCCACCGCGTGCTCGCCGCTCGCCTCCACCAGCGTCTTGGTGGAGAAGAGGCCCAAGTCTGCAAGGGAGGACCGAGCAGGGCGTCGGGGCAGGGGCAGAGGGCAGGGAGTGAGGGCCTTCTGACTCCCTCAGCCTCCGGCGCAGGGGCGGCCCGGGGGGGGGGGTGGGGGTGGACAGGTGACAAGCCCGGCCCCACCGGCAGCTGGCAAGGTCCCAGGGCCTGGCCGTCAAGCAGGGTCGCCCCCAACCCCGTCTCCCACTGCTGCTCTGAGCCGGGGCCCCTCCACCAACGTCCTCGCGTGCACATGGGGCCACAGGTGCACAGCACGAATGGAAGTTTCCGCAAGCGTTCATCGGATCCAAGGAGATTTAGTGATGTGAAAGCCTAGAATGTGCTTCAAAGAACTCAGTGGCAAGAAAGGAGGCTATGTGGGGACAGAGGATGCTTGGGTATAGAGGAAACCATGGTTGAGTTTTATGTTTCTAAATGGTTTCCCTTCCTACGTATGTCCCCTTGTCTGAAATTCTGCACAATGAGGGCTGGAAAGGGGAAAACCCCAGACCATGGGCTGGCTGAGGCTGTGTGTAATCTGTACCCTCATCCTAATCAACCAAGAAAAGCCAAAGTGACTCTAACCAGGTCCTGAGATACTTCCCTTCCCCTTTGCCCACTGCCGGAGACACACAGATGGGAGAAAAGCCCGAGACTGGTGGACCCATCACTCAAGAGCCCTCTTCAGATACGGCCCACATATGACTGAGGAGAGCTCATGAGAGCCACTGCCCGGGGTCTCCAAGTACGCGGGCCCTCAGAGGCCTCCTCCCCACACGCCCCTGCTCTCCACACTCACTGAGCCGCAGGGAGCCCGCCAGGCCCCGGATCACGGTGATGGGATTCCGAGGGTCTGTACAGAACTGCAGCAGCACTGGCGAGAAGGCATCCCGTTTGCTCTCCAGCTGCAGGAGGAGCAGGAGAGAGGGGTGAAAGCCCCGTCGCAGGCTCAGAGCAACCCCGCCAGCCCCCAGG